AGTGACGAGTAAAACTTTGAGTGGCATCCCTCACCTCGACGATGAAGTATATCCTCTCTGCGATATTTCTCTCCTTCGCGATCGGTTCACATGGCGCTCTGAACATCTCCGAGTCTGGTTCGGCGGAGGTATGTTTAATTGTTTGGAATCGTGGACCTGGACTTATCCTGCACACTCAGAGGCGCACCTCTCAAACCTGCGGAGATCCCGCAAATTCCCTGCCTTTTTATAGAGGCTATAACTCAGCCGAAGTCGACCATTACTACACCACAAGTGCAAATCTCGTCAATAGTAACGCGGCTGGGTGGCCCTTGCAGGAGGTCGCTGCCTTCGTGTTTGTCACGCAAGAAGAGTCCACAGTCCCGTTTTATCGTCTCCACAGCAACGCCGCAACGGATAATTTCTACACGATTTCGACCACGGAGCGAGACAACGCGTTGAATAATGGATACGTTTCCGTCCCTACGGATCCATTCACTTACATTTATCCAACCCAAGTCTGCGGAAGCGTCCCTTTCTACCGCTTACCACGAGACGAAGAAGGACAATTTTATACTATCTCCGAAGCGGAGAGAGAGGCCTTCATTGCCAATCAGGGATACACCGATATCGAGATCGCAGGGTATGTGTTGCCGGCGACTCCCACCAGTCAGTGTGCTTGACTAGGTGTGTTATCCGTTGTGTATTTCATCCTGGCACTAACTTGGCTTTGCAGCGCAGGAATCGTAATTCATGGTCTATTCGATTTCCTAGTCTACGTGATCGTGTAGTCGAACAGTATCGTTAGGGGTCGTTTCTCTAGTGGCACCTCTCCTTCCAAATATCATTTTTCTTGTTACGATGGCGAATTCGTCGCAGCACCCAGTTCATTCGAGCGATCAACGTTTCAATCCTACTACATGATGATTGAGATCCAAGACCAAACACACCCCGGGGAAGATGCCATTCAAGCTTAGAATTCGTAACTTGGGTAGCATGAGAAAGGGTAGAGACCAGAATCGAGCTGACCGTTGGTATCTGCCGTGCCTGTCGCAAAGAAGCTCTAAATGTGGCTGAATGGGAAATGCGCAACTCAAGCGCGGAGATCCCCATCTTATTCAAGGTACAATGGAACCGTGACATCAGAAACTTGAGTTGGCTTATTGGATATAGAAAATTTGACGCTTCACTCTTGGAAGATACCACTCACGCCCAGGACTTGGTTCTGCGCTTTGATGAGTGATTCCAAGGTTTCGCGTCCAATTGAAGGATGAGGAATTGACATGGTGTTCGGCGTATACTTGCAACGTACTCTGGGTGGAATCTGGATGATTGCCTATACTCGTTAGGCAGAATGGTTCGAAATTGGACGTCGGCAGTGCAGCATGTCGGTGAAATGGAAGCAACAACCTTAGGTGAAGCTTTTGGACAAGCGTCGGCGCTCGAATCGCAAGTCACGGAGGTGTCGGTAGTGACTGTATGCAGTTTAAACTTGCTGGCCATATTTCCAAGTACATATTCCTAATTCCGCGACGCTGAATTGTAGAGATGAGAGAATGTCGCGGCCCACCGCAATGATGATAATAAGCGGACCTGCCTCATTTGTCGCGGGATATCAGGTCCGGTTGAACAGCCGTCGATCGGAGGTTGAAAGATGATATCGAGAACTCGAGACTCGAACAAGTCGATAATTGAGAAAATTGGCGACGGAAATTGAACTCTGGTTAGAAAAAGGAAATGGGATGCGTTGGATATCAAGTTTCGAGGACGACTTAAGAAATCTTGAGGACGGAGATGGAACGGGTTCCAGCCAGAAACGGAACAAAGAGGAAAGTGATGCCTCGTGCAGGGCCATGATCTGTCTGCGATGGGCGCGATAAAGAGGTGGAAGGAAATTATATTTCAAAGTCATCGGGATTGGACTTATGATTGGAGTCTGGACAGGAGGAAGATAGAATAAGTTAGTACACGGCGCACAGTGGTCCCGAGGACTAGCGAGCTCAAGCTCAAGCAAGTGCCGATGTCGGAGGGACAACGCAAACGCAATCGCGATATAGCCTCAGCGTCAGTCGCACGAGCCCTAAGGACAAGAAGCATAAACGCGGGCCTCGTGAAGGTCTATCCCACACGGTAGTCGGTATCCTCACACGTTGGGCGCCGCGTCTCCCCCGGCAGTACCATATACACCCAAAGAACGCCAAGGGTGTACATCCGCACAAGAGGAAGGAATGCACAGACCGCGACGAGAATGAGAGTCGTGCGCGCTATGCCAGTAGGGCAGCAATTGGTATTTACTGCACTCGAGATCTTGTTCTTCTTCTGCTGCTCCTGATCCTAGACCGACGCTTGGTCCTCGTCCTCGTCCTCGTCGACGCCGAGTCATCCAGCTTCTTCCAAGGACGAATCACCTCATCACACTCGGCGAATGTCAAGACTTCGTCTACGCGACTCGCGGCTACGCCAGTCAACGCTCGATAGCGCAAGTACCGCCGCACTCACGAGGCGTGCGCACCCTCTGTCCAGATGCCGCTGCCCGCTCCTCTTCCTTGCATCGCACCTCCTCTGCGCCTCCGCCAACCGGCGTCTCCCTCCACACGTGGTCCACCTCCCTCCTCGCCTGCGATGCGACTCTAGCAGCCAACTCCACCGTGGGCCTGAGATAACACTTGCGGCTCGTCGATGCGCGGCGCCAGGTGGTCGGTATCAGCAACCGTCTCCTTCCCCTCTTTCTCGACGACTGCGCCTCGCGTCGCGTATAGCACCCACATGCACCGCAGCGCCATCTCACTCACAACCCATGAGGCTGAAGCTGGAAACCTGGACGCCTGACCACGCCCACTCCCCTTCCACCCCCTCCACCCGCTGCTCCAACCGCACTTTCGTTCGCGGAGCGCAGGGGAATCGATGTGGCTCTGGCGGCGCACCTCCGCCGCGCGAGCCTAGCACCCAGCCAAATCGGCGAGAATACAATTTCCCACTCGTTCGTGCTCGACCACCGGCAGAGCGCACCCTCCTCCGCACCGATCGTCGTTCAGCGCGGGGGACGCTTCACACCCGACGAACACGCCCCCCCACGCGGAATCTGCTCCACTCCCGGCGACTCCTCCACACGTCCGACCGAGCTCGCGCGCTCGGCACCGCAAACCGCAGCACGCCCGCACAGCGCCCAGTGGCACCCAATCCATTCGAAATGGACAAGGAGTCGGAGTGAATGACGCCCTGCGCACGCCTCGATCTCGAGACGCAAGGGCTTCGCCAGGCCGGGCGTACGTCCCCTCGCTGTGCAGCGCCAGGTAAAGCGTAAAGCGTAGAGCTCCTCCCGCTGCGCAATCTTGTCCGATTCTGTGCGATCTTGCCACTCGAGAGGCCACGGCCAGGAGCAGCGCACACAGGATCCAGTGGGCAGAATGACTGGACCTACTGCAGTCCGTCGAAATTGGTGTTTCCCTGTTGCGGAAGTCAAGGCTATGGACAGGATCTAGCGGAAGGCGCACGAGGCTGTCGGCCGATGGGCGCAATGGCGTCGAGGCAGGATCAGTAAAGCGGGAGGGCGTACGCGAGTCGTGCTTGTCATCGTTTGTGTGCACATTGTGACATTGAATCGAGTCGGGATGTTATAGTGCGGGCGCGACGCTGCTGCAGTGAGTTAGGGGATCCAGCAAGGGGTTGCATCCACCGGACTCGTCGTCAATCCGAATGAGCCTTCGAAAAGGACAAGAGACGCTTGTTTGCGCATGTGTGCCAGCGGGCCACGTCAATCAAACGCGGTCACGCGTTGTGATTTTGACGCGCACATCCATGGCGCGCGACTTGGTTAGCTTGGCCTACAGTCAAGTTGCAAGGGTTCAGTAAGTCGCGTTTTTTCCGAGTATGGGCATCGCTTTCCACATTGGATCAGAGCGTGGTACTGCAGACTGTAGTTGTCTCACGATCCGCCATCCATCACGCCCTCGTGGATCAGCTGGTATAAATCGCTCCGCACAGATAGTAAACCACATTATCATCCTATCGGAGAGCCGCGGGTTCGATCCCGCCGAGGGCACTGAGTCTGTCAGAGAATTTTTGTCTCTTTTACTGACAGTTGATCTCACACTGCATTACAGTGAATGCCTTGAAGAACGCAAGGCGCATCTATAATCCCATGTCATTTGGTGCCTGCTTCTCGAGTGAATGCGTACAATCGTCATCTCGTTCGGTTATAATTCAAGTCCCCTTCATTATCTAATCGCCGCGCTGTTTTTTTCACTTCTTTCACTTCTTCTTTGCTTCTCCGAATTTAAACAAAGACCAGCCAGACCTGACTCAAATTCATCCGGGAATCGGCGACTTCGACACGAATTGATTCGTCCATTGGCATTTTGCTCGCCTATTGCTCGCCCTCATACATAATCGCAGGCTCAGCCAGACCTCAACACTTGCCCACCCACGCAGCTAGAGGACTAAAGCCTTCGTGGATCAATCTTGATCTCTTCCTGGTCCTGAGGGGTGATAGTCAAGAGTTCGGAAGAGTGGTGGAGAAATTTATACCAAGACGTCGCACCGCTTGAATGTTCGGGTCCGAACAGGAACGAGAATGTGTCATTCAATTGCAATTACCGAGCTTCCGTCATGAAGCTATGCCAATGCAGATACGAGCGATATCAGGAACCCAAGAATTGATGGATTCGATTAGATTACTGCGCGGAGAAGGGACTTACGAGAATAAAATTGGATCGAATGGGATCGATAAATCCGGCATGATTAAGTAACTCAGAAGTTGAGTTGACGGAATCAACTAAAAGACGGGTCAAGCAGAGGAGACTTACTGGAATATTGACCGTCACTTGGGCACCAAATCTTGAGGGTTTGGGCAATATGGAGAGTGCCAGCGAGAAACGGATAAAGAATCACAGACCCGGTGGGAGCTTGGTAGGAGACGTGTATCGAAGATCCAGAATTGATTATTACGCGTGGAATCATCGAATTACAGTCGGCAGATCAAAATAGAGAGATAGTAAAGTCACCCAACATCCACCAAACGATTACAGGGTAGTGTTGCCACGACTCCAAAAGTCAAGTCACGACCCAGGAGGTCGAGTGTTCGCTTCGACTCGACTCGACTTGGTCATATCCAAGTCACTCGAAGTCGACCCAAGTCGACTCGAGTCGACTGAGTCGCGATTTTTCAGATCTCTATTCCCAGGCTACTAACGATGGAGAGGGGGTCAATTTAGGTCGGGTCTACCTCGGGTGGTAGCCTGGTAAGATATTGGTCTTTGTTAAAACCTATCAGAGCCCCATTTGAGAAACTCTGAAAGGTAGGATTTCTTCTATTTACTAACGGACAAGAACTTACTTTTAAAACATGTCCAAAATCATATCCCCTGAGCTCAGAAATCCAACCTTGGATATTTTTAAGTTTATCTTGTCTCTTGAGATCAGTAAAGGTCTGTTCCATGGTACTTATAACCCAAATTAGCTACTTATCTACAGAGGCTGACTCGAGTGACTCCAAGTCGAGCAACTTCATTAAGTCGACTTGAGGAGTTGGAGTCATGAGTCGCGGCAACACTATTACAGGGACAGCAAGCGCCGTGATCCAGAGTGCTGAAATAGGCCTGTCACGCGTCCACCCCGTTTCGTCCGGTTCCGTCCTCGTTAAGTACAATCTATCGATTGCTTACATATTCACCCCTCACCCCACAAATTCCTGGTACCGACTTAGGTTCCAGGTCTCAGAAATGAAACGCAAAACAGACGATTTTTGGTTCTGCTAGTAACTTAGTTTACTTATGCTCGTCTCATATGTTACTGCATTCGCCTGTAGTGGCTTGACCATCTCGGCCTCCCCGTTTACAGTACAGAGATCCTCGAAGTGCAGCGACCATTCATAGAAGTAGTACAATGAGTATCCCCGGATATGTATTAATTGTTCCAACCAGTATGTCCACTCCGAGTACAGTTAATTCACCATCTCAAGCTCCAATGCATCCACTTAATATCTGGTATTTAAAAGAAAAAAATCCGTCGGGTTCGAAGGCGGGTGCGTCGGGAGACTGCGAGGTGTCGAACGATGCTGAGGCAGATTCAAAATGGGAGGTGTGTGTGGTGGAATGCTGCAGGAGGGTGCTGAGGATGGTGGAGTACAGCAGGAGCTGGATGCACGGTCGGGAGTGTGGATGACGCTGGTGAGGGACGACGGCAGGGCGACGACGGTATCGAGTAGGGTGTCTAGAAGTAGGTTTAGACGAATGCGGAGATGTTCTTCTGCAGAAATGTCGTGTCTCGGGGATAGTGGTGCAGTTGTCAATTTTCTGCCGAGTTGGTAACGAGCGCAAGCGGCGCGCGAAGTGAGCGGGGGCAGCCGTAAGTGTCTGGCATGGAATTAATGGCACGGGGGTTAAACCAGGGTATGCTGGAGTCAGAAACGCGTTGTCTCAGTCTGAATGGTGGGATACGGGGATGGGGCAATGTCGAGTCTGTCATTGTTGGTGTTGGTACGGTGCCGAAACCTCGTCCAGGGCTATGGACGGTACTGGGCAGATGAACTGTCGACAGCAGTCAAGGGCCCGATGCTCGACGCGGCCGGAACACGCACAGCGCACCGGGGATGGTGGTTGTTGTTGTTGTTGTTGTTGTTGTTGTTGTTGCCGCAGGACATATCCATCTCATCCTACGGCATTCAACCGACGGCTTTTACTTGGAAATTCCCATTTCAGTCGTGCAATCCAACTCTATCAAATACCTCCAATTCCTTCTCGCCCAAGGCCCAAGGCCTTGGCAATTTTCTTCTCCGTCGATGCGCGCTATCGTTCGACGGGGCAGAGAAACCGCGTGCACGCAAGTCATCCAGTGTTCCATCTTAAGGGCTTATTAAGGCGAAATCTTTGGCGAAGGCCTTAACCCTTAATAAAGCTTAATTAAGAGTCTCAAAGTAAGGCCTCTTAATTAAGCTTTATTAAGGGTTCTTACTTTGAGACTTTTAATTAGGCTTTATTAAGGTATAGGGATGCCTATCAATTTGTTCAAAAGGCTTATGTCAAAGATGTCGAGGACTAAAAGAGTTGAGGAGAAGGGGATAAGCTCGACGGGGATGAAACCAGGGAGCTCGAGCCGTAAGCGGGCCATTTAAAGAATTAGTAGACGCGGGTATAGTGAGATTATGCCTAAAGATGTCCTACCAATCAAGATTCACTCTCCCACAAGGCCGACATAAAGACGGAAGGCAGATTTGATCCCAGGCTACCAAGATGCCTCCTCAGTCTACGGTTACCGAAATTCGCTTCAACAACAGTTTAACGGCCCTGACTACTGCTGTGACCACTTTTGGGGTGGTTTCTCGCACAATCAAGGCACCATTCTTAGAACCTATTTCAAACACCATGCAGTCTCTATTGACTGCCGCACAGGTCATTCCTTCACAGTAAATATATCTGAGTCCTCACCCCACCTTTATAGACTGTCAAGAAAAATAAAGATGATTGTACCCAGATGCTTGACCAGATCCACAAACTTCTCTATGCAATTATCCAGCTTCATATAAGCTCCGACACTGAGGGTGAATTATCACCTAACATATTGATCCATCTGGGAAAATTTACACAGTAAGAACATTCTTCCTACTGTGGTACAAAATCGACAACCCTTGGACAGGACCCTCCACAAAATACATACCTTTATGGAAGCTCACCAAAAAAAGAGCAAGATCTTGCAGTTCTTCCGGCAGGGTGAAATGAACACATTACTAAAGGCCTGCCATCTGGGACTGGAGCAGGCCCTTGAAGTGTTCAAGGTATGTTCAATGTGGCTGTTGGCAGTGCAGCAAACCACAATTATGCAGGTTCAAAATGTTTTTTCGTCAAGTGATGTGATACAGATGCAACAATATGCCCAAAAGGAACATCAGGAAATTTTGGATTTGATTTCATGCACACAACATCCACTGTGTGTACAATCTCGCTTAGATCTGATCCAAATAAATAATCGATTTTCCAGATCAGCAAAGTACTTTCAGCCTCAAACAACAGGTATGTGCGTTGCTCCAGTTCATCATTCCCAGATTTACATATTCAAAGCTCAAATTCACTTTCATTGTTGCCATCTGAACCCAAAATATTTTATGGGCGTGAATCTGAACTTTCAGATATACTCCGAGCCTTTCATCAGACAACAGCAAAGATAGCCATTCTGGGTGGGGGTGGTATGGGAAAAACGAGTCTTGCGAGGGCTGTTCTTCACCACCCCAATATATCTGGAAGATATGGGCAGAACCGTGTTTTTGTTGCTTGTCACTCCACATCCACAACTGTTCAACTTGCTGCTCTTATTGGAGCACATGTCGGACTGAAAGCAGGGAAAGATCTCACCAGCTCAGTTGTCCATTATTTTTCCAGCAGGCCACCTTGCCTGTTAGTTTTGGATAATCTGGAAACACTTTGGGAGCCAACTGAATCCCGTGGTGAAATCGAAAAGTTCCTGGCCTTGCTTGCAGATGTAGATAATCTTGCCTTGATCGTGAGCACAGAAACTACTCAGTGGTCATTCTAAGCTAACAATGTGGTAGATCACCATGCGTGGGGCAGAGAGACCAGCCAATGTCCAGTGGACTCGTCCATTTCTGTCACCATTGAAGCCTTTGAGCCAGAAAGCCGCCCGTGAAACAGTTATTACCATTGTGGATGATGGTTATTCCAGTGAAGAAATTGACAAAATCCTGTTCTTTACTGAGAACATGCCCCTCGCAATTGATCTTATTGCCCATCTTGTGGATTGTGAAGGCTTGTCCAGTGTTCTAAACCGCTGGGAGGCAGAACGGACATCACTGCTTTCTGAGGGGCATGATAAGGGGTCCAATTTGGATTTGTCAATCTCTCTCTCTCTTGACAGCCCTCGGTTGACCTCTGTGCCCCACACACGAGATCTTTTGAGCCTTCTTTCGATTCTCCCAGATGGTATTTCCGACATAGAGCTTTCACAAAGCCAGATTCCCATCGACAATATCCTTACATGCAGAGCAGCCTTGCTTCAAACCTCTCTCGCATATAGAGATGACAATAAACGACT